CACTGCACTCCAGTCTGGGCGACCGAGTGAGACTCCAACTCAAAAAAAAAACAACAAAAACAAAAAACAAAAACAAAAAAATAACCTATAACACGTTTGAGAGGAATTGAATGAGATCGAAATAAGTGGAGAAATAGAAAGGGAGACTCCACCCAGAAAAAAAAAAAAATCTACTTAAATAGATGGGCGTGGTGGCTCAAGCCTGTAGTGCCAGCACTTTGGGAGGCAGAGGCGAGAGGATATCCTGAGCTCCGGGGTTCAAGACCAGCCTGAGTAACATGGTGAGACCTTGACTCTACAAAAATAAAAAAATTAGCCGGATGTGGCGGCACCTGCCTGTGATTCCAGCTACTTGGAAGGCTGAGGTGGAAGGATCACCTGAACCCAATAGGTAGGTCGAGGCTGCAGTTGCCGTGAACATGCCACCACACTCCAGTTGAGGAACAGAGTGAGACTCCGACTCAAAAAAAAAAAGAATCTACTTAATAGTACTCTTGCGTGTTAACAACAAATTTCACTGTTCCATTTTACACCCGTTTATTTATATTTGTTGTTTTATTTTATTTTTTTTAAATATACAAGATAGGGTCTCGATATACTGCCAAGGCTGGTCTTGAACTTCTGGGCTCAAGTGACCCTCCTGCCTCAGTCACCCAAGTTCCTGCCATTATAGGTATGAGCCACCGCAATTGTCTTCCTCCTGCCTGGCTTTAAGTTGAGGAAATAATGGCCAGGCGCAGTGGTTCACACTTGTAATCCCAGCACTTTGAGAGGCTGAGGCGGAAGGATTGCCTGAGCCCAGGACTTTGTGACCAGGCTGGGCAACTTAGTGAGACCTGGTCTCTGTCTCTACAATAAATAAAACATTTAGCCAGGCGTGGTGGTGCACATCTGTAGTCCCAGCTACTTGGAAGGCTGAGGCAGAAGGATCACCTGAGCTCAGCAAGTCAAGGTGGCAGTAGCCATAATTGTGCCACTGCACTCCACTCTGGAGACAGAGTAAGACTCCCACTCAAAAAAAAAAAAAAAAAAAAAAATTCGAGTAATAAAATAAGGAACAATTTCCAAATCAGACTGGGTGAAAAACAGAACATACCTTTCTCCGATCTTTAAGAATCCGGTCCAAACTCTCTTCATTAACTTTGCTTGCATAGTCATAAAAACTGTTTAAGAGGAAAAAAAAATTGTTAAAATCACATAGTATCATAACATGGATGTACTTAGTTACATGTTTGTAGGGAATCTAACCCTAATAAAGATATAATCACTTGCTTTCAGTAGATATATAAAGAAAGCTGGGTGTGGTGCTCATGCCTGTAATCCCAGCATTTTGGGAGGAGGAGAGAGGATGGCCTGAACCCAGGGGTTCGAGACCAGCTTGGGCAACTTGGCGAGATCTTGTCTCTACAATAAATAAATAAATAAAAATTGGCTGGGTGCGGTGGCTCACGTCTATAAACCCAGCACTTTGGGAGGCTGAGTCAAGAGGACTGCCTGAGCCTATGGGTTCAAGACCAGCCGGGGAAACTTGGCAAGACCTCATCTCTACAATAAATCAAAAATTTAGCCGGACGTGGTGGCATGTGCCTATATAGTTCCAGCTACTTGGAAGGCTGAGGCGGAAGGATTGCCTGAGCCCAGCAGGTTGAGGCTGTGGTGGCCGTGAGTGTGCCACTGCACTCCAGCCTCGGCGACAGAGTGAGACTCCAACTCAAAAAATAAAAAAATTTAAAAATAAAAAAATAAAAATTAGCTGGGCATGGTGGGGCACACCTGTGATTCCGGTTATGTGGAAGGCTGAGGCGGAAGAATTGCCTGAGCCCAGCAGGTTGAGGCTGTGGTGGTGGTAGGTGTGCCACTGCACTCCAGCCTGGGTGACAGAGTGACTCCTACACACAAAAATATATATATAAAGAGAAATCAGTCTAAATGCTTTTCTGATACAAGGTATTTTTTGCATCAAATAATACTCAAGAGATTGCTACATTCAAAAGATATTACTTCCATATGTGGGAGGTACGGATAGCAATTACAAAATGTGTGGTTTCAAATGGCTGTGGCATCTTTTCTTTGTTTCTAAGTATCAATTACTTAAAAAAGATAATGGGCCAGGCACAGTGGCTCATGCCTATAACCCCAGCACTTTGGGAGGCCAAGGTGAGAGGACTGTCTGAGCCTACGGGTTCAAGATCAGCCTGGACAACTTGGTAAGACCCCATCTTTACAATAAATGAAGAAAAATTAGCTGGATGTGATGGTGCACGCCTGTGGTTCCAGCTACTTGGAAAGCTGAGGCAGAAGGACTGCCTGAGCCCAGCAGGTCGAGGCTGCGGTGGCCGTGAGTATGTCACTGCACTCCAGGCTGAGTGACAGAGTGAGACTCCATTTTAAAAAAAAAAAAAAAGAAAGAAAAAGAAAAAAGATAATGTAGCAGCTCATTTTCTGAGAAATGAAGAAGGGAAATGAACATCTGTTGAATGCTTAATTGGACACTCAGCTGCATGCTTTCTCGTGTTATTTCATTTCATTCTTGCCTGAACACTGGGAGGTATTACTTCGACCCAACAATTCAACAAGTTTTATTCCCAATTTGGGAGATAAAGACCCTGAAGCTAAATGACTTGCCCCAAATCATAGAGCTAGACAGAAGGGCTGGGGAATCTGAAGCCAGGTCTGGCTAGCTTCAAACCTAAAGCACCTCCAAAACAGTACTGTGACCAGGATTGCATGATGTGATTCAAGTGTGATGATGTGATTCAGGTGGAATGACGTGCAGGCCTTTTCTCACACTGGTCGTGGGTTTGGGAATGCTATCCATTCCCTCTCCTGCCACCACTATAATCCCAGGCCTTCTAAGACAGGAAGGAGTGCAAGGTACGGCAACAAACACTGAACGATACCACCTCCAGTCCCAGTTCCGCTTTTCACTGAATGATATGGGGTATCGGGTAAATCACTTAACCTATTTAGCCTCTATTTCCTTTTTTGCATAATAAGGATGTTGGAGTAGACAGATATTTCCAAGGTTTCTTTCATCTCTAAGAAGTATGAATCCCTAATTTAAACTCAGTTAAATCCTGGCTTTGGTATTACTTTGCTAACAATATCTTAAGGAATTCCTCAGAAGGGTGAGGCAGAACACACCTAGAGCAGCTCTGGACAGTCAGGACTAAAATAGGCACTTTCAAAGACCAGACAGAGGAGGCAATGTGTGGACCAAAGCCTGAATCATTTCATATGCTCTACGATTCTTTTCAAATGAACTGTTGGTTGCTTATCTTGCTTCCCCAACCCTCTTCAGTTATGTGTAAATCTAAAAGAGGTGAGGTTCTACGCAATTTCTGGCTTCATTTACGGCAGCAATCTTGCATGATGACAATCCTCTGAAATAATAAGGAGCGGGGAATGTGTGAGGGGTGAGCTTGTGACAAGTCCCGGGGGTTTGTGGGCGCAAGGGGATTGGTGTATGGTCCAGTAGAGAAAGGAGAGTGGTCAGGGTGAAAGCTGCAGGGACCACACAGGAGAAGCAGCCAAGCCGAAGGGACGGGTGAGCTTTAGGGAAGGAAGTGTTGATCAAGAACACTGAATTGACAGGACTCGTGTGGGGAGCACTGAAGGAAAGTACCGGCCTGGCTTTTGGGAAAGAGTAAGAAGTAGGGTTGCAGGAAGTTTTAGGGAACACAGAGTTTTTTATTTTTATTATTTTATTTTTTATATTTAGTGAGGGCCTCACTCTGTCGCACAGACTGAAGTGCAGTGGCATGATCATGGCTCACTGCAACCTTGAACTCCTGGGCTCAAACAACCCTTCTGTCTCAGCCTTTCATTAGCTGGGACTATAGGTGTGCACCACCATGGCCAGCTAAATTTTTTAGTTTTTGTAGAAATGAAGTCTTCCTATGTTGCCTAGGCTGTTCTCAAACACCTGGGCTCAAGTAATCCTCCAACTTGGTCTCCCAAAGTGCTGGGATTACAGGTGTGAGCTACTGAGCTCGGCCTATTTTTATTTTTTAGAGACAATCTCTCACTGTGTTGCCCAGACTGAAGTATAGTGGTATGATTATAGCTGAATGTAACCTGGAACTCCCAGGCTTAAGAAATCCTCCCAGCCAGGCTCGGTGGCTCAGCCTGTAATCCCACGCCTTTGGGAGGCTGAGGTGAGTGGATTGCCTGAGCCCGTGGGTTCGAGACCCGCCTGGGCAGTGAGACCTCATCTCTACAATAGATCAAAAAATCAGCCGGGCGTGGTAGAGCATGCCTGTAATTCTGGCTACTTGGAAGGCTGAGGCAGAAGGATCGCTGGAGCCCAGCAGGTCGAGGCTGCGGTGGTCAGGAGCGGCCACTGCACTCCAGTCTGGGTGACAGAGTGAGACGCCAACTCAACAACAACAAAAAAAAGAAATCCTCCCACTTCAGCTTTACGAATACCTGGGATTACAGGCACATACCACCATGCCAAGCTAATTTTAAAACTTTTTGTAGAGACAGGTTCTTGTTATGTTGCCCAGACTGGCCTTGAACTCCTGGCCGCAAGTAATCCTCCTGCTTGGCCTCCCAAAGCAATGGGATTACAGGTGTGAGCCACAGTGGCCAGCTGAAACACAGAGTTGAAATCATCATTCCAGTCACGAGGTGGAAGAGTTTGGGGCTGAGAAAGAACCATTACAGTCCTGAGTAGTGGTTTGAGAATAAGTCAGGTAAGTGAGAGATACTGGACTTTTTCTACTTCACTCTTCTCTTCCCTCCAGATCTCTCTCTAGATTGTTTGCTTTCTCCTTTCTGAATGTTTCTTTTCCTATTTCCTTCTCTTTCTGTCCTTCAGTTGGTTATAATACGAACTAATGTATACAGTAGTCTCCTTAACTTCAGTTTCACTCTCTGAGATTTCGGCTACCCTCCACTAATTGGGGTCCAAAAATATTTTGAGGAACAGGGAGAGGGAAAAGGAGATAAAGATACCTTACATTCACATTACTTTTATTACAGTATATTGTTATAATTGTTCTATTTTATTATTAGTAATTTTTAACCTCACAGTGCCTAATTTATAAATTAACCATTTGTACTCAGATGTCCCCTCTAAGGGGACGTTGTAAATCTGGCAAACCACTTGATGTCCCCTCTAAGGGGACAGACAGAGATCATTAGGAATTATACAGGACAAACTTATGCCAGCGCAAATGTTTAAAAAATGCATGTTTCCTTGGAGTTTTCCATCAAAATGCATGAAAAAGCAAAGAGATGGAATATATACTGAGATATACATTTTTAAAAAATCAGCTGGCAATATGTAGAAAGAAAAAGTGTGAAGTGGTTTCACAGTGGTGCTGACACTATCTTGAAACAGAATGTAGTGATAAAAAACGTTTGGGTAAGAAAGGCAGCTGTGGATATACCGTTTATATCATATGGCATAACTTGAAAAGACAGATAAGCAAGTTACTGTAGCCTTAAAAGAAAGAGACTTTTAAAGTGGAAGGTAAGGTCAGGCACAGTGGCTCAAGCCTGTAATTCCAGCACTTTGGGAGGCTGAGGCGAGAGGATTGCCTGAGGTCAGGAGTTCGAGATAACCCTGAGCAACTTGGTGAGACCTCATCTCTATAATAATAATAAAAAAAAAGCCAGGCATGGTAGCACATGCCTGTAGTTCCTGCTAGTTGGAAGGCTGAGATGGAAGGATCACCTGAGCCCAGTTGGTAGAGGCTGTGGTGGCTGTGAGTGTGCCACTGCACTCTAGCCTGGGCGACAGAGCGAGACTCCAACTCAAAAATAAATAAATAAGTAAATAAATAAATGAAGGTAGATTGCTGCCAAACATTAGAGAAATATAAGATTATAAAATTTTGATTTTTTGTCATAAATACATTCCACAATGTCCAAAATTCCATTATAAGCCAAATATCATCACAATAAAATTACTGGTTCAACGCTACACTATTTAATATGAAGTGATTCATTTTTCACTATTTTGTAAAAAAAAATGTGGTCAAGTTGCTGGTAGTTGATTCACGAGATTTCTCTGAGAGCAAAGGGCTAAATTTTATCATAGCTCCATATACATGAAAAACTATAGTACATATAGATAGGGTTCCGTATTATCCATGGTTTCTGAGGGTCTTCATACGTATTCCCCAAGGATAAGGGGAGGACTACTATCTTTTTTTTGAGTTGGAGTCTCACTCTGTTGTCCAGACTGGAGTGCAGTGGCCGTTCCCGGCCACTGCAGCCTCGGCCTGCTGGGCTCCAGCGATCCTTCCACCTCAGCCTTCCG